CATAGGCATATATCCAGAAGGAACCCTACTTCAGGATGACACCTGCACCCCAATGTTCATAGAAGCACTATTTACAATATCCAAGACATGGAAACAGCCTAAATTTCCATCAACAGATGACTGGATAAAGAAGAGGTGGTATATTTATACAAAGGAATACTACTCAGCCATAAAAACCGACAACATAATGCCATTTGCAGCAACATGGATGCTCCTGGAGAACGTCATTTTAAGTGAAGTAAGCTAGAAAAAGAATGAAAAATACCATATGAGATCACTCATATGTGGAATCTAAAACAAAAACAAACAAACAAAGCATAAATACAAAACAGAAACAGACTCATAGACATAGAAAACAAACTTGTGGTTGCCAAGGTGGCGGAGGGTGGGAAGGGATAGACGGGATTTCAAAACTGTGGAATAGATAAACAAGATTATACTGTATAGCACAGGGAAATATATACAAGATCTTATGGTAGCTCACAGAGAAAAAAATGTGACAATGAATATATATATGTTCATGCAGAACTGAAAAATTGTGCTCTACACTGGAATTTGACACATTGTAAAATGATTATAAATCAATAAAAAATGTTTAAAAAATGATCAGTAGGGTAGAATAGATATTTTTCTAAAAAAGAGATACAAATGGCAAACAGGTACATGAAAAGGTACTCAACATCACAGCCTTTAAGAAGTACCTGCAAGAAACCAACTCAAAGTAGGTCTCCAGTTAAGATCCTTGACCCAACTGTCTTTTTATTTTTCCCTTAGATGGTCTGTCCTTTCCTTGATTTCTGTATAGAACTGTATCTTAAACTGTGCTTTTGAGATAAGCAAGGACCTGGGACTCTTTACCAGAGTGCTTGCATTTACAATTAAACAAACATCTCCTTGAGCAACAGAATACAAAGAAACTATAAGGGGCTAAAAGATAACTGCATGCAAGTGCAGCCAAGAAAATTATGAACAGTAAGATACTAAAAGTTCACAAACCAGCTGCCACTCCTGAGGTGCTAGGAGGGAGGAAGAGCAGGGTACCGCGCATGATCCCTGCACACAGAACCAAGTGGGTGGGCAGTAAGCCACCCCTCCAGCCTGACCCACCCCATTTAAGGAAACAGCCCTCCCTCCTCAGAGAGTGAGCAAGGGGCATCTGTTTCTTGTTTTCCCTCCCTCATGCTGCAGCAAGAGTCCCAATAAAGCCTTGCTTGAATGTCTCATCTGGTCTCTTATCAATTTCTATTGATTAAAGTGTCCAAGGACCCCGGTCAGTAACAGTGTCATTTTTGTTTTTGTTTCCATTTTTTAATTTAAGTCTCTGGTTGAACCCTTGTGATGAATATATTAAATAAATATATCTTGTGTTTTAAAAAATAGTCAATTAGGCAAACGATCACATTTTCATTCAAGGCGCACAGCCCCCTAGGAAGATGGGGTGAAGAAATGCAGCAGGAATCAAAAGTCAAAATGGTGCTTCCCAAATTTTCTCCCTGAACAGAAGATGGCTGGGCCCAGAGTGGTACCCAGCTAAAACCCATACCACGTGAGACCAAGAAAAGTAAGCCTGAAGAGGAAAGACTTGCCTGAGTCTGCCAGAAACAGATCTTCCCTGGTCAACTTAGAGCATGGAAACAGGGAGCCCCAGGCAGGTTACACATGGGCACAGGGAGATCAGGGACTCAAGAGAGGGTACATGGAACCTGTTTCCTGGTTTGGGGCAAAGAAACTCTAGTCTAACTGTAATAGAGAAGAACAAAACTGCCTCCATATTAGATCTGTTCCTTTAGCTCTAACCCTGTGCTCTGTTTCCCGTGCCAAGTCATGCTTGTTCTGAAATTTTTGTAAAAGAACATTGCCTGTAGCCTGAAATATACACAATAGCTCATTCTCAAGACTCTGACTCTAGTGTATGACACTTTTCTATTCATATAGAGATAAAAAGTCGCAGAACAGAGTAACATTTGTCTTGTTGGAGGTTTACAGGAACATCGTAACTTAACCTATGTGGACAGCTTCAAGAACAAAGGATTCCAACACCAAGAACTTTGCAACAACCAACCACACCCTCTCCCCATTTTAGTATAAAAGGAGCCTGAATTATGAGGTGGGTAAGATGGTTCTCAAGGACTTCATTTTCCCATCTTCTCAAGCTGATGGCTTTCCAAATAAAGACGTTATTCTTTGCCCCAACACCTCATCTCCCAATTTATTGCTCACCTGTCATTCAGTGAGCAGAATGAGTTTGGATTCAGTAACACAATGTCTGGAAACAGTGGATATCAGGCTTTCCCCAGTTTTTTTCTCCCAAATTATTCCTCCTTCTATAGGAAGGACTGAATACTAGTCTCTTCCTAGTGAGTAGAATTTAAGTATGCATTCTCTCCTTTGGAAATTGAGGAGCAAGAGATTCTCCCTGAAAAAATGAGGGGGTTCTTGGAAAGCTGTTCTTTGAACAGTCCTCTCAGAACCCAGCCACCATGCTAGCAGCTCAAACTGTGTAAGAAGACCACACACATGTGGGCACTGGAGTGACAGTCCCAGCTGAGCTCTCAGCTCACAGCCAGCATCATTACCAGCCATGTGAGTGATGCATCTCATACACTGCAGCTCCATTAAGATTCCAGACGACTGCAATTCCAGGCAGCATCGATGGAGCAGAACCATCAAGCAAGCCCAGTCAACCAACAGATTCTTGAGAGAGAATAAAATGTCAGAAATGTTATAAATTATGACTATTTGGTTATATATTACATAGAAATTTAATTGTCAAAAAAATCAATGCTTTGTATTATCCTCAGGACCTCAACCATACATGTGTACATTCCTGAAAATAAGGGTGCACCTTATTTTATTAGAGTAAATCTGTACCTTGCTTTGATGGACATCATGAAACTTCAGCAACAAAAGTGTCTAAGGCCAATAAAAATTCAGAGCTATAAAATCTAAAAGACAGTGCTGTGCTGATAACAGCTAGGAGGATGTTGACAAAACAGTAGTTTCCAGCTGTCGATAACAAACATTCTTCTACATTGCAACAAGTGAAGAAAGTGCTGTAGAGTAACTACCAAAAAATGACCCCATTTATGATGTTTGGACTTCTAGCCAAACTCTTGTCAAAGCAACAATTTGCGTATTGCTACTTGCTCTGTGATTGTAAATTTTACTTCGAAACTGGTTCTTGTAATGCAGTCTGTTGAAGCTTTCATACAGCCATATTAGTACTGTATGGGTTTGGAAATCAAGGAGACAAAGGGCAGGGTAGGATGTTAAAAACAGAGTTAATTCCAAACCAGTGGCCTCTACTTTCATACTTTGTTGGGTGCCCAGGTGAGGAGAAACACAATGTAACTGCTACATGGGTAACTGCTGCCAGGTTGGGTGTTAATGTATACACAATTGCATTATACTAGCTTTTTTCTGTACAAGTATAACCTGCCATCAAATGCAGAAATATGACTATTTTCTTAGCAGAAATTTTTGGATGCAGTATTTCCAGTGAAATCAGTAACTTACAAAGGAGTTCTAAATGAAGAACACAGTGAGGAGCCAGTATTGGAATGACTTTTAGAAATCCAGCCATAAGAAACAAATAAGTCGCTGTTCTCAAGCTGCATGAGAAACCACCCCAGAACATGAAACCACAAGGGCAAAATAGCAAGCCATTATCATAAACAGCCCCTAAAAAATAAAGGGAGAATGAGGCCAAAAGCTGCAAAACAGGAAGCA